GACACCCTTGGACATGTTCTGCTGCTGCTTCTGGCAAGGGAGAGACTCCTCCTGGAGGTGGTGGGGTAAGCCTCCAGGATGTAGATTCCTGGAGCCAGCTCCCCAGTACAGTCTGGAGAGGGAGGAGACAGGTTGAGGGAGCTGGGCAATCCAGATGCTATTCTCAGCTTCAACTTTTTTTTAAAACAAATCACAATGTCTCTGTGCCTTAGGTATTCTCCCACTTTTCTGAGTGGGGGAACTAGCTACTGAGGTATTGTCACGATTAATTTTTTTTAATGAATTAGGATAGATTGTCAGGATACGGCTGCATTGGTAGCCCATACTGCATTGAAGAAGACTTTGCATATTGCCTATCTCAGTGCTGTCACAGGAAACAACAGTGTGAGCTATATTCTGGACATAATACAAAAGACTATAAACATTTTCTCTAATATAATTTAATGCAATTGAACATACATTTAAAAGTTACAGACAGTCTTAAAAATGCAACATGTTCTAGATCACAGACACATGTAGCAATATCAATTCCAACAATACCTGTTATTTCCAAGGCATACATCTACAAACCACCCCAAAACAATCACATATTTGGATCTTATTTTATCATCCCAGTTTGTCTTACTGAACAAATATGTTGGTTGCAGAAACTGGGTTTTTCTAAAGCAATTTTAAGAAAATGAAAATTAAAAACCCCTCGTACTTAAAAATTAAATATTACAAAGTTATTTAAGAGGCAAATCACTTTTTGTAGATTACTTTCCAGGCACAGGATGTCACTTGCCAGTGTACCAGGGTAAAAACTAATCTATTAATTCATAAAATTAAAATGCAAAGCTTGAGGACTTCATTTCAGAACTTTTTAAAAAAAGGTTATTTTAGCCATTGGGGTTATGCTAGTTTTAGGGTGCTAATCCACTTTCTGGGCCAGATCCTTGGATAGTCACACAGCTGGTGGAATCTGATCCTAGAGACATCTTAAATAACCTTGGACTCATCTGTTGTCCTTGAGCTGCTCAGATAGTAGGTAGAAGGTAGAGTATGGCCAAGACCCACCCCCATTAGGGAGTGATTACTGGCTGCAGTTTCAGTAGCTCTGCAGTGTTCAAATCTGCCATAAATTAGAATAGCACAGAGGCTATTCTAAAGGGGTGCAGGGAGACAAGCTCTGTGTAGAGGGGCCCTCAAATCATAAGACTAGGACGATGAGTTTTAATCCATCTTTATACCCATTTCCAGACATATGCTATGTGCAATTCATATTTTATGCTCTGCCCCTCTTAAATTCTGTTTAGCTTACAGCTGACTAGATTACATTTTATTGTGAATCCATTTGTTTCAATACTCTTAGGCATCTAATAAATTCAAAACTCCCCTCTTAGGCATCTAATAAATTCAAAACTTCTACAATCCCATTTAGAATTCAGTAGATTAACATTATGTTCAGTATTATCAGCTTTTCAAAAATACTACTGTTCAGATGAAAGCAAGAAGCAGACAAATTGTAGAAGATGCATGGTGACACTGAACGTGTAGAAACAAAATGAAAAGACATGCATATTCAACATCAAAACTGTGAAAACAACAGATGAACATAATTCCTTGTTTGCATGTTTATAGCAAAGGAATAAACATTTGTTCAACAAGCTTAACACTGAAACTATTCTCCACTGCTCGCATATAAGGTCAACTGTTTTTAATTCATTCCCACCTTTGAACACACATACTGCCCGCACACACAAAATACGTTTTGCTGTCTAATGCTACAGCATTTTTCCAGCATTTTATTTTATTTTAAAAATAATACCAAATCTTCCTGCACATCAAGATTGCTACAGATAAAGAACTAAGGCAGATTCATCTATGATCATTCAAAAATCATAGGACAAGAAAAATTACTGTGACAGACAGCAAAAATTTGATGGTCCTTTGTCCAGTATTTAGCTTGAGAACTACTTCTGTACAGGGCATCATCTGGAAAATGATAACTGAAATATCACTTGCAGCCATAGCAGGGAGAGAAATGCCTCTGTTAGGAAGTTAAAACTCTGTAATTGCTTTAAAGTCTATATTGTAAGCTATTTATATCATGTATGGAAAAGCAAAACTGTACAAAAATGATGCAACCAATTAACATGTGTATTTCCTTCCATTCAATTTTGTTTTGTCTTTCTAAAAAAAAAAAAAGAAGAAGAAGAATTAGTGTATGTACAAGCCTGCACTGCAGATCCATTTAGCATTTTTATAGTTAGCAATCCTTTAATGTACGAGTACTCAGTGTATATGATGATCAACTTAAACATAATTTTACAGTAGATACTCCAAGTGGGTAAAGTTTATCTAGATTCAACACAGTATTAGTGAACCAAAGCAAATGTAGTCTACATGTGTATCCATCTTTGATTAATAAAAATCATGCCTCTTTTAAAAATCTTAATATTGTAATAAACTGTGTGCTATTTGCTCATGTAATGTAATTCTACAGAATGTAATTAGCACCTGCTTGTGAAACATCAAAATAAAAATGTAGATTCATCAGTTGGAAACCCTGCTGGTAAAATAGCTTAAAGCATCACAGAAATACATTTATGCAACCAGTTTGCATCTGAACAGTCACAGCTCTGTGCAGCAACTGAAACTAAATTAATGGCATGTTAGGATTTGCCCTCATGCGCTCTGTTGTGAAACCCATAGTCAAAGCTAAAGTGGATCTCATAAATGTGGTGTCAGTTATAGACTATACAACACATATAGTCTTGCTCTTGCAGGCTGATCAGAAGGCAGGGTAAGAAGTGTTTTATTTCTTTACTGACTTTTTTAAGATGCTCATCCACATCACATATGAGAACCTCCTATACATTAAGTCTCAACAGCCATCTGATGTAGGAAAGTGTCATTATCTCCATTTTACAGATGGGGAACTGAGGCAGATAAAAGGTGGGATTCACAAGTGGGGCATAAGCACCTGTTATGGAGTGGAATTCACAGCCCTGAATTAGGTGCCCAGGCTCTCTATGCTATGCATGTTGTGGGTGTTGGCACCTAAGAATGGAATTCACAAAAGCCATCATGCTGAGCAGGTTGCTGTTTAAGCTAGCCAACAAAGGAACAGGTTTAAGCCATGCACCTTTCAGGAGTTAGGTAATGTCCATCTTGACTCAGGAGTCACAGTTGTGAAAGCTTTGCTATAGTTAGCTGCCTAAGCTCCATCAGCTGTTTTCAAGAAAAATGAGGACACCCGCAGGCACCACCCATTTTACAACTTTTATCCAACTGGTTAGCGAACATGCCCAGCCTGGGGAAACCCAGGTGCAATTCCGCCCTCTGCCTGATGTGGCAAAAGGATTTGAACATGAGCCTGCCTTCCAGGAGGGGCCCAGAGCAACTGAGTGTTAGGACATTTTGGGGCAGGGTGCTCTCAGTCTCTCCTGGTGAAGCTGTTCCACTGTATATTAATACTTAAATATGCATTAGGCCAAAGACAGAGTAATAACTATAACCTGATGAATATTTAGGCCACTCACGTGGGATGTGGGGGACCCAGATTTCAGTCTGCCTACACCTATTTAATTAGGCACAGTGGAAGAGTTTCAACAGGAGAGATGGAGAAACAGCTATCCAGGCATAAGCCTTAGTCCACTGGCTAGGACACCTCTCTGGGAGGTCAACAACCCAAGTTCAAATCCCTGTTTCAGAAGTAGGAACTGAACCTGTGTAGGTTGTTTAACTACTGGATTAAAAGTTCTAAAGGGGACACACTACTACCCCCTCCTGTTTTGTGTGTGTTCATTTGCACTCACACTCTGCAGGCAAGACAGAAGTTCATTAATCCTTCTGAGGCGTAAGTGTGAGTCAGGCCCCAAGTGATACCAGGACTTACACAATTATGAAGATGCTCAGCTGATGAAATTTAGGCAGTTGGGGACTTTAGTGGTGGAAACATGGGCTTGAGGGTCTTCAGGTACCTGCAAGGTTAGGCAGCAGCTTTGTGGTTTGCACCTGTATCTAAACTTTGGGCTTGGGCACCTAATTCTACCTTTTGAGTATCACTCAAAGTGACTTCCTCAAGGTCACAGAAGGAATATGTGGTTGAGCTAAGAGCAGAACTCACATCTCCCAAGCCTCAGTCTATCATATTTATATGCGGCCTTCATCACCAATCTGGCCTAGCAGTCAGGTGCTAACTAGTTATGTCATGTGAAGGAGAGCATTAAACTGGGAAAATGAAAACTTAAGAACTGCATATAACAATATTCAAGAATACCACATAATGGTTCAGAATGAAGGGATGAAAAAGACTCTCACAATGGTCACGATCTTGAAGGCTTTGCATAGCTTAAGTCACAATGGTTAAAGTAAGTTTGCAGGTCAAATGCCTCAGAGGAAATACAAATTCAGGTAACTGTGGAGAGTCTCACTGTTATAGTTTAAAAAGCAAACAACTAGAAGTAACAGGACTTTAGCAAAGTATATTAGCCACCAAAGGACCAATTTTAAAATATTAGCTTTCTGAATCCCCATTCCTAAGATCTGTCATGAAGTCTCTGCACTGTCCTAAAGCCAACTGTCCATCTTTGGTAGAAATATGAGAACAGAAAATAAAGCACAAAGAAATGGTTCAAAGGAGCAAAACTAAAATCAAGCTGACATGGCAAAATCAAACTCATTTAGAGTTGCATACTAAAGTAACAAGCGATTAAAGAAAACAATTTCTGCAAAGATTATAAAAGTACAATTATAAAATAGCCTTTCAAACACTAACAGAATTTGATTTTGTATGGTATCTTTCACACAAACTGCGCCCAAAACACACTGCAGCCCTTAGTAATACAATTACAAAGCTAAGCAACAGACGGGGAAAAAATGCTGTGGGTGAGGGAAAAAAAGATAAGCTCTCAGAGGGGACTTGGACACGAGGGAGAACCAAGATAAATCTGTTTCTTGCAGTAAGTCAGAAAGAAATAAAGGTTGTAAAGAAGTATTAAAACAACCCTATTTACCTCAGTTGCATTCTCCAATTCTCTGCTCTTCGTGCAAGGGGCTCAGCTTGTTTCTGAATCAGAAGGTTGTTTTTCTGGAGAACTGTCATCACTGAGGTCACTGTAGCTATCACTAGCAAGAAGGGACAGATGGTGAGAGTGGTGCAGAAGAAACAATTTCTTTGTCTAAAGCCCCACAACCACAATGACCCACACTAAGGCACTAAGCCTTCCTAACCAGGAAAACACATATGCACAGGCTTGTCTTTAATGCCATTGTAGTGTGTCTTCCTCAATGGGATTTAAGCACATACATAAGTGCTTTTCTAAACTGAGGCCTAACTAACTGATGAGACCCAGTACGCCATAAAGATGACATAATATTCTTTTATTTGGTACCATGTCTTAACACATAACAGAGGGCCAAGTGACTGCAGCCACCACTGATGTCACTGAGAGTACCAAGTTCTCAGCACAAAACTAGAAAAGAAATGTTCTAATTTACAGCAGAAAGCACGAAGAAATGGTTCAAAGCATGTTACATTTGTTTTCACACTGAGAAACATTTAGAGTAGAGTGGAATGAGAATTTTTCATTGAATGATTTTCCAACAAAAGTGCCCTTTTCACAAAATCAAAATTATCCACGAGAAATTTCAATACAGGCAGTCCCCGGGTTACATGGATCCAACTTACATCGGAACCCTACTTACAAACGGGGTGAGGCAACCCCGCACTAGCTGCTTGCCCCCCCGAAGACCAGGGAGATACGAAGCAAGTGCCTCCCCACCCCCTCCCCGAGCAGACCAGGAAGACGCGGAGCGGCTTTTCTCAGCAGACACCTCAGCTTGAGAATAAAGGACTGAGGGAAGTGAGGTGTGGGAGAATAAAACTGAGCTCTGGAGATATGTTTGGCTAGAGTTTCCCCTACACTATGTACCAGTTCCGACTTACATACAAATTCAACTTAAGAACAAACCTACAGTCCCTATCTTGTACGTAACCCGGGGACTGCCTGTATAGCAAAAAAAAAAATTTGATTTTCTGTCAGGCATATCAAAATGATGGCTTCTCAGTTGCCTTCTAGAAGGTCAAACTGACTAAAGCCTTCCCAAGGACTGACATGGCTGAGCATCCAGAATCTTCCTTCTTGGATCTACCACCTGCCTGCCTTCCCCTCAAGCAACAGAGAGGAAGAGGGTCCAAGCACTCAGCCTTCCTGCCTCCTCCTAGCTCTGGGGCTGAAGAGACAGAGTACCCCAGGCTTTGTGCTTCTCTAGCCTCATTGATGAGGGGAAGCTAAGAAAAAAAAAGGCACATCAGTGAGTGAGAGAGCCCAGGTCAAGTGCCTCAGCCTTGCAGGGCTCATTCTATGGAGCTAAACATAGCAGAGCAGACTGCTTAGGGTAGAGCCCATGCTCTCAGATCCTTCCCTTTTGTGGGGTCTCAAAGCACTGCCATTTTATAGCCTTGCAGCCGAAGTCTTGTGAGCGCAAGTCCAGTCCAGCCACAGCCATGCTGGGGATCTTTTATTGCCATGTGGACATTTTTTCATGGGAAAGGATTTTCATTTTCTAACTAGGCCCATTTGTATGTATTTGTCTTGACCAAAATCTTAATTTAGATTTAAATTAAAATTCTGCTATTTCACAATCACATCCTCAAAACAAGATCATTACCAACGCACCCAAACACTGTTAACAGCTTTCCCTTTCATCTCCTGTTTCCTATAAAGATACATTTGTTTACTATCAGATACAAGCTAGTGGGCTAGTGATCATTTTATCAGTGAACAGAACAAGGAAGTGGTGATGGTGAAGAATTCATAGCAGCAGTGATCAGCTGAAGGAACATCAAACAGGCCACAGCAGTCATGATTAAACTGACTGAATTCTCTTCAGAAGAGCTCAGATGGACAGCTCCTTGCCCAGCCTATTGTAGAGGATGGGTACCTGGACTGGCAAGCTCATAGTCTCAATCACAGCTTTCTGTATGCCCACGATCATGCTCCGGGTGGATCCTTGGCCCTCTGCTTTGGTGTGCTCCCTCCCTTCCCCTCCTCCCCCAGCTGCTTTAGCACCCTGTGATCACTGTGGTGTGGTGAAAGAGCAAAGAATCAGTGGTCTCCTCTGACAGGTAGTGAGCTGGTGAGCTGACTGACAACCTCATTGGACTGCAGTTCAGGTAACTGAGAAAAGCCACTAAACTGCTATAAATTTTGCTGAGGGCTCAATGGAGGTAAACTCCATTTGCCAGTTGGCAAATTTGCAGGATGCTGGATTTAACCTTAATATCATCTTGTTTGTGTTATACTCATAGCCTAATTAAAACACAAAAATTGTAGACATATAGGATAGGGGTCTATGATAGCAAAATTGTCTGATTTAATTTCAGCCTTTCACTGCTAGGGGAAATCTGCAACAATGTAATTAATTATGTTCCTGGAAGACAGAGAATGTGGTCAGAATGAGTTCCTCTGCTGAGGCAGAAACACTGAAGGATATTAGATATGCTGACGGAAGCCTTCTTTTTTCAGCATAGTTGCAGCTACAGTGGGGGTTTTGTCAGAATTGCTCCATCACTAGAGGTTTTATTTTTCATATTCTTGAGAGCTATAGCTATGCTGGTATATGTTTTAAGCGTAGACCGACCCACGGTTGCTTTCACATTTACTAAGTCTTAATGTACAGCTTTCTGTATTTATTTTGAGTTATGTATATGTGGCTGATTAACCATGTTAAAACAGTGGGTCACATAGGACTAACTACACGAACAATGTGAGGATTTTAATATGTGGGAAACTATTACCAACATGCACCAGCTATTGTGAAGGAAAATATTGCTAACAACATGATCAAGCATGCCAAATGCACACAGACACACACAGTTTCATCAGAGCGTCATTGCCACTATACTTACTTCTTTCTGAATGTGCCCAAGGAAGCATGGAATAAAAACTTTGTATTATTAAAACAGTTATGTGTTAAACACAGAAATATTTCAAGTACAGTAGTTAATTGCAGTGTTTTTCTACGTTGTGTTAACACTTAATAGAGTATTACACAGAAATATTTCAAGTACAGTAGCTAATTGCAGTGTTTTTCTACGTTGTGTTAACACTAATTAAACAAATAGCCTTTAAGTTTTCTATCAGTACTTACAAAATTGAAATTTTTACTAGTTTGAAGAAACTTGCCCCATCTTTGTGTTTTTCCATCCAGAATATATACCTTTAATTTTAAAAAAGCTGAAAATTTTTTGTCTTGTTTCATAAAAGAGTTAAAAATTTCCAGGCCGCTTCTGCTACCATTGCAAACCAATATCTATGTCAAGTTTATAAGATTTATTATAATATGAAATGTATTATACTGGAAAAAATCTGAGAAGCCTCAGAGTTGTATTATCCAACAAAGAGAATTCTCTTTTCTCTTTGGAACAAACATGTATTTCCTTCAAATTGCATTGAAATGCTGCACAGATATTACACTTAAAGATTAAATAGTTATTTTGTGCTAGGAGGTGGCTAGTACTAAATACATTATATAAAACTCATTGAAGTGTGCTGGCTAAGAAAATGGTGGAAAAGTATCTTATTTCTTTCTTGGTTTTTCTGTTAATAAACTTTTGTCCTCTGAGAGTGATCCCTCACTGGAAAAAACCCAAAACTGTCTTCATTTCTTTCTGTGGGTTTTCTTTCAGCTTGTGTGTCCTGAACCACTGTTCAGTTGATTTGTGTTGGTTTGGCATCACCAGATTCCTACAACCGAGTGGAATAGACAGGTGGTAAAGGGCCGCTATAGTGGCTTCTGTGCAACCCTCCTTTGCGCATCCATAGCGAGAAGGCAAGGTCAAGAAAAAATGGAAGAGCATATGGTGTCTCTCTACCTTGTCAAACTCCAGCTCTCAGAGCAGACCCATTGAGCCTTGGAAATAATAATGGTGAAGACTCTCTCAGACACTTTGGCCCCAATTTAACTCCCACAGGAGTTAAAGAAAACAATTTAATGGATTTAAGAGAGTTGGATCAGGCCTTTTATGGCTTTAAGTAATTGTTTAAAAAGTACAGATTTCTTGGAATGAAATGATGCTATTAGCTTTGCAAAAGAACGATTCCTCAGAGCCCTTCTGACACTAACACATCCGTGTTATATTTATCTACTCCGTCTTATCCTGCCTGCTGGATATGAATGTTAAGACTCAAATGATCTTTTGGGATTGACTGAGCAGGAGTAATTTACGGCAAAATTTGGCTGCTTCTACACTGCACTGTAGTTTGAAATAAGATACGCAATTTGAGCTATGCAAACTGTGTATCTTATTTTGAAATAGCTTATTTCATATTTTGGCACTGTCTACAAGGTGCCAAATTTCAAAATTACCAAGTATTCCAGAATGTCCTTTATGCCTTGTGAAATGAGGTTTACAGGGATGTTGGAATAGCAAACCCGTTATATTTTGAAATAACGGGCACACTCAAAAGATGCAGAATAGCTATTTCGGGATACCTCCAGTATCCTGAAATAACATTGCAGTTTAGATGTAGCCTTTGACTTTTAATAAAATCATGAGTGAATTGTAATAAAATGAAATATCACTTGGGGCAAGAACAGATAGTCCCAAACTGTAGCAAGCAGAAACATTCTTATGTAGGAGCAGTTTTTTACAGAGACGTTTATACAGCTGCATTCAGCCTCATACTCCTCTCCCAGCACTCAAACAAGAGTTCCATTAGTATCAAATTAATCTACATTTAGCACTCGGGGTGTCCCCATCTGTTTAGTCACTAGTTACTGTACCTCTCTTTTCTTTTTGTACACCATCATATATCAATGTAGTACCTAGGCGCAGCTAAGAGGAGAGGATTTCCTGTCTGTGTTACTATGGAAATCATCTGATGTGGTGATGGGGCATGAACGTGAGTTGCAGTGTGATTCCACTACTAATGTATCTCAGCTCCTACAGGGACAGGAAGTTAAAATCATGCCTAAACCTATGTTTCTTGCTGGCCACCCACTATCACTGAGCTGTCCGTTCTTAATTTTTTAAGCTTTAGGGAGCAACCAAGCCAGACCATTTGTTGTTTCTTAATGTTTCTATTAAGAAATAAAAACAATAGGTAGTAGTAGAAATATGCCCCATTAGTATGGGTTGGAAAATTCTGATTAGCATTCAAACGGGCAGTGCGCCTTATGTACAGAAAAAGTAATTTTTTTGACAGACAGCTTCAGAGCTTTATATCTTTTTAATATATAATTGAGAAAAAGTCCATCTCTGGAGAGGTGAATAAGCTGAATTCAATTGCTATGGCAATTTTATTTCCTGTAGGAGGAAGAGGTAAGCTAATTTGATGAAGCAATGGTAGATGCACATTCACCAATAACTGAGTGCTAAGCAGGTACAGTAAGTTTAATACTAAAACTTCCCATGCTGATTTAAACATTTATTTTTAAGGAAATGATTCAATTTTTGGAAATCCGTGGACTAAGAGATGTAAATATTAAATTAGAAATGCATGATCTTTACTAAATATTCAGCACAAAGTGAAACACTTATTTCACTGCAGCTTTGTTCGTGAGATGTAATTAAATCTAAGTGATAATATTAAGAAGTTGTTGAATAAAAGGCTTGGCGAGAGAAGGATATATTTTATAAGCAGTGAATAAAATGGGAGCAGGACATGATGCCATAGTAACAGGCATAAATCTCAGAATGGATTGGGAGGATACAAGCCAAAAATGTCCTTTCAGCCTCAGGTAGTACGTAATATACACTGCCATGGAGAAGGAACTGTCCCCATTTACTAGATGAGCCTTTCCTATGCAAGTTAGACAGGATGCACTTAGATTTAATGCAAACCATGACTTCTAAAAAAAAAGTAATGATACAGCTCAGTACTACCACTTTTTTTCTTTTAACACCCAACAATACCTAATCAATACCTAATGGTGCAGATCAAATTTAAATCAGCTGGGATGCAAATTAGACGTATTGCAATTGCTAATGAAGCGGGGATTTAAATCTCCCCTGCTTCATTAGCATAAAAATGGCTGCTGCTTTTTTTCGGCACGGAGCTTTGCCGGAAAAAAGCTCCAGTCTAGACGCGGATCTTTTGGAAAATAAAGCCTTTTCCGAAAGATCCTTTATCCCTTATTTTAAGAGGGATAAGGGATCTTTCAGAAAAGGCTTTATTTTCCGAAAGATCCGTGTCTAGACTGGCGCTTTCTTCTGGCAAAGCTCCGTGCCGAAAAAAAGCGGCAGCCATTTTCATGCTAATGAAGCAGGGGAGATTTAAATCCCCGCTTCATTAGCAATTGCAATACGTCTAATTTGCATCCCTTTTATGAAAAAGGGATGCAATCTAGATGTAGCTCCTGAGTATTAGGAGTCTCCACTGGCAGAAAAGCTTGTGGAGGATGTACCTCTTACATTTCCATTCTTAAGGTAGGTGTGTGTGTGGGAAGGGGGGACATGGAAAACCAAGGTTTTACTGTGCCCTGCTCTCCAATGGTGAAAATTCTCTGAAGGATCTTATGTCAGTGACAGAAATTAAAGCTGCCTCCTTTAACTTACACCAGGACTGGGCAGCTGAAAATAAGGGAACCATGGGCTGTTTCCCCTCTCTCCATTACACAGCAGAAAAATCAATCCTTTTGTATCTTATTTTGCCCAGAACTCCTCAGACCCTAAGAATCAAAGGCATTGTTTCCACAAGGCTAGACACTGTCTTTGAACACAGCCCTAAGCAAAGACCACTGAGAAGTACTGTGACTCAGAGACTACACCTATGTCTACACTGCAGAGCTTTTCCGGGATACCTCTGCTGCATCCAAGGAACATGTCTGCTTTTCTGAAAAAAAAATCCAGAAAGCAGACGCGTTTTTCTTGGTATCCCTGTAAACCTCTTTCTATGACAAAGAAGGGATGTTCCGAAAGAGAATTTTTTTCTGACATTTGGCCCAGCGTAGATGGGCCAAATGTCGGAAAAGCCTCTTTCGGAAGAAAAGCTTAAAAAATATGCAAATTGCAGTATGCAAGTTGAGTATCTTTTTCCAACTTTTCTTTGTAGTGTAGACATAGCCTACTACTGAAACTAGTAGGACTCAGAAAAGCATTAAATTCTCCAATGGGTAATGAAAACATCCAGTTACATTAGCTGGTTAAACACATTTAGAAAGGATAAAACCCTCAGACTTCACTCAACCACCAACTAACTAAGCCCACTGCTAAGTCAATCCCTAGGGAAGGCAAGTAGGCAAGGAATTTTTCAAACTGGCTGTGCTGTGCAACAGTATGTCTAGCATACCCAATAGCAAGGGTGCTTACCTGGAATACAGAAGACCCTAATCTGAATTCCAACTCTGCCTGATCTGGAGTAAAGACATGAATCCAGGTCCCCAAGATCCCAGGTGAGTGTCCTAACGACTAGGCTATGGGCTAGTCTGGACTCTTTTAGATGCTTCAGTTGAAGCTGTTCTCCTTTGCATAAGTATGTAAATGTTCTTTGGAGCAGGGACTGGAACCTGGCTCTCCCAAATGCTGGGTGGGTGTGCTAACTACTGGCTACAATGGGATGGGGTCTCTGGTTCTTGTAATGAAGGGCGTAGGCACCTTGCTCCAGGAGAATATTTCCTCTACATCTTCTAGCTAGCTTAAGCTCCCCTGACCTCATCTTGCAGGCTTCCGAGAATCCCTTTCTTGGACATCTAACACACAGGGAGCCTGGGTGCCTAAGTCAGGGTTGAGAATTCTAGCAGACTGAAGGGCACTTAGGAGTAAGTGTTGCAACACTTATGTCCCCTTTGTCAATCTATCCCAACTCACAAGGATTAGGAAGGAACTTCTCCTATCGGTTTTCCCATAATTGTCCACTTTCAGGGTCTCTTGCATCTTCCTTTGAAGCATCTGGTGCTGGCCACTGGTAGAGG